TGAAGTTTTTTGGAGCATAGCAATATCCAACACTTGTCTTTAAAGAAAATGTATGGTTTTTTTTCTTTTTAATAGGTTTGTTAAAGCCCTTTACATTCCAAGATCAACATTAGGGTTCGCCATTCTCAGTGACTTGATCTTCCATATTCAACTTTGCTATATAGCTTGCAACTTAGCACATTTTTATGAATGCTTCTGTAGCATGTAATAACGTCATTCTCTTGTACAGTTAGAGCTCATAACATACGTTCCCAAGCACACTATTGAAAAGATCACAAGGGGGAAGAGGAAAAGAAAAAACTAATGACAAAGTACAAGAAATACTAAAAGTAAATTTAATACGTGACATACTAGGTCCACCAGGTAGGTTCGGGCAGGTATAACCCAAAGCTCTCTCCAACAGTTTGCAAAAATAAAGACAAAGACATTAACAAAAATCATATGAATGCTACACATTAACAAGCTGTGTTCAGCAGTCCAAAAAACCTTGCTTTCATTCCTTTGTGTTTTTGTACAACTTGGATTATTCCGTATATTCCTCCTTTCCAGATGTTATGAAGGTAATAACAGTTTCTGCTTCCTTAGGGTCAGAGAAATAGTAGGTTTTCCTTTAGCGAATTGTACTTCATGAGGTATCTTGCCATCCTGAATCTCAGCTGCTTGCATTTGGCTTGTAGTTTTGTTGGTTTAAACAAGCCTGCTTTTTGGATACTTCAGGGGGAACATCAAGAAACAGCATCATGCAAATGCCAGGCTCACCCCTTGTCCAAATTCTCTAGGAGCTTTGAGCACTTTTGCTTTTTGGTAGAAAATCTCAGGAACTTGGCTATAAAGGCCCTCCTCAGTATTCCTCCCAGATCAGGCTTCCTCTGTTGAGACTTCTGGGTCCCTCTCTATTCACAAATCAGTGTTCAAGGTGAGTTTTAACAAGCTGATAGTGTGCTCTCCGTATCTCCCCCAAAACTTGGTGGGTTTACCTTTTTTTGCACCGCTCAGGGACTTCAACAATGTGGATGTTGCATCTCCTGGATCTGCTTTGTCTTTCACTTTGTGTCTCATTCCCTGCAGCTCCTTCCTGCCAGAGCCTGTCGGCCTGGTCATTTCCACAGCCCAATCCATGCAGGCAGAAACTTTCTTCCACTCCCTGAACTCGCTTAACCAGGGTATCCAGTGAAGTCTGGATGTTCATAGCAAATCTGTGCATCTTTTCCACTATAATTTAAATGCTCAATATGTCTTTAGCTATGCCCTGCTTCAGATAAGCCAAGTCCTGTGTTTGCCCTTTGGATCTTACCTTGGAGGCCTCCATCTTAGAAGCCAAGGAGCTCCTTTATCTTTGTGGGTTTTTTTGATGTTCCCTGACAATGGAGGGGAGTGAGAGGTTTTTTTTTTTCTTTTTCCCAGTCATAAAGAAGGATCTATCATGGTCCCAAGTATAATTTGTGTAAAGGGCTGACTCATTTTAACAACCAAAAGTGGCTGAACATTTTGTAAAATAAGAGTCTCTTAGACTTGCATCTGCTTCAGTCCACACTGATCCCTGGCTCCCCTATGATGACAGGAAACTAAAATAAAAAGAAACTTGCCCAGTGAAATTTCCATTGGAACTGCTATTTTGACTGGAAAAAAAGTTTTGCCACCTTTTCTGACCAGTTGGATGTGAGATGTAGGAACTGAAGTAATACATTTTGACTTGGTGAATACCAGCAGTCCTGAGCATTCACAAAAATAATAATAGCAGCATTGCAGCCCCTTCACTGTTGTATTTGAAATCTGACTCCATCAGGAAGGACTATGTATTTTGTTGGTAGGATAAACATACACTTCCAAATCACTTTTACAGGTAGCTTGAAATACATTGCAGCAGAGCTGTCTAATTTCTGCGTGGGTGGGGGCAACATGCTGTGTAAAGCATGTGTGGCATGGTGCTATGTGTCTCTTCCCTCCCACTTGCCCTCTGCACTATGCTGTGTGGCGAGCATCTCTGTGGTATACCATACTGTGCAGTGGGTGCACATTGTCGCTTTGTTGTCCGTGCTGCATAGTGGGCATCCTGCTGCACTGTGCTGGTGGTCCTGTGCTGTCCAGAGTCCACATGTCCCCTGAGCCAGCTGGGATCTATCTGGTATAGAAAACCTGCCATCCCTCCAGTATTTGGATATGAGTAGAAGATAGATTACTGCATGCTGATTAAAATTCCTTTACCTTTTAAAAGTCTTGAACTGACTGATGTGAATGCTCTGAGAAATCTGTATGGTAAACCATACAAAATGCATAGAAAGGCTTTTGTAATTTGCAGTGAATGTAATAGCTGCACAGAAATATCCATGGTTGGTTAAAGTAGAATAATATTCAAGCAGTTGCAAAAACACAATAACATGCCACTTTTACACTGCATTAAACACCAAGTTCTGTCTTCTGTTTTTAATATTGAAAGCAGACAGCAGAAGTAAGATGTAATTCGCTATTGCGTATTGTTAAATGGCTAGACAAGATAAAATATGCAATTCAAACTAGATTTTTCCATCTGATTGTGATTTTTAATTGTACGTTTTCATTTTTTCTCAATCTGTACTTTCTCTCAGAACCATGGTAAACAGAGCATCTCCTAATCCTTGCTGTCCCTTCTCCTCCACCAGTGAATTTGTAGGTGGCCACAGGATCAAAAAAGTAAGAGGCAATCTTGCCTTCTCTGAGGCTTGAACTCAAGACCTCCAGATTATGAGACTGATGTGCTGCCAGCTGCACAAAGTAGGCCCTGGCTTGGAAAAAAGCTGTTTAAGAAGATCTTGAATTAATGAGAGAGGCTTTTGATTTGTTGAAAGGCTGATAAATGCTGTGTTATCAGCCCCCTGCTGGCTCCCCTGCCTGTCAGGTTTGTAGACAGTATGAAGAAGCAGGGAGAGGGAGATTCCAGAGCTCAGTTTCATCAACAGATGCATGCACTGCAACCCCCGCCCCCGCCCTTTGCCTCAGTATGCTAGCTGTGGCTTGAGTCTGGCAACGTTCCTGCCCCTTTAGCAGGAGTGGTGAAAAGCCTGGGACGGTGCAGGCAGAGTGGGGGTTTTAACATCTCTCTAATCAATGTCCTGCCAGGGCCTGGCCACTTCCCTTTCAGCTCAGCATTGTGGAAAGGAAGGGAGGGCTGCTCTAGTGCCCCCCAGCTTCTAGCCTGAGCCACTGCAGAAATGTCTGCCTTTCCTCTGTCCAGAGGGAATGTCTGTGCAGTTGCAAACCGGTTCAACCTAGGCAGTTTAGACCAACCTACAGAGATTGAATCAATTAGGGCTCAGGCTTTTTGAATGTCTGTCCCTAGCCTTAGTAAATGCATTATGCTGGTTTTGGATTAAAAGAAAAAAAGATATACCACTGCAGTCTTATGCAACCATATGTAACATTAATTTTAAATATTTAGTCTTAAGTGCCTCCTTTTGGGAAAATCCTCCCAGTCATTATGACCTAGCTCCTTGCAAAGGGATATGATCTTTTTCTCTTTGAGCACTAAGAGGGAATCCCTGGTGAATCACATTCCCCAGGCTTACCTTGCTGCAGGTGCCATGCTTACAACTCTTACCATGGAGGGAGTGAGAAAGCATTCCCTAGTTGCAAACTCTGATCTTTTGATATAGTATTACCATTCAATCAGCCCGCCATCCCTGGGAAAGTGATAAGGGCAAGATGTTTATTTGCTGCATTGTACTATTTTTGAAATGAAAACACTGGTCTTCAGCAGTCTTTTAATGTTCTGTTCTGAGAGCATTAAAGCTGTTCCCCAGTGACATTACTGGAGTAAATATTAGTAACTTCAATGGTTTGAATGAAATAGTTTGCTTCTGGGCACTGCTGCAGGAGGACAGTCGAGTAGTTCCTAACTTTTATCTACCAAGTGGCAGAAATAGACTTTTAGATGTCTCTAATTCAAAACATTAAGCTCTGAATTATCCCTGCTTCTGCATTCAAACTCTACAGAAGAAATCTTTGTCCCCAGTTTTTGCCTACCAGTTTTGAAGAAAGCTTGACCTTTTTTACATATTTTGGATGGTAGTAGGGCCACCAAGGATTATGATGCAATGAGTTGTGTGGCTTATAGAAATATTGCTTGTATTTCACAATGTGGTATAAATTGTGCCTGTATGCAGTTTTATCAGGGCTGTCCAACTGGCAGCCTGTAAGGGGTTAAGTTGCAGCTCCTGGGCTTCTGCCTAGCCATAACTTCTTCTATCACTCTTGGCTCCCCCTCCCTCCTCTGGTTTCTGCATTCTATTCCCATCCCAGGGGGCAGTGTGGCATGGCATGGAGTGGCACAGGACAGGCAGGGTGAGTCTGGAGCCACATAGCATGTGGAGCAGCTATGGGGGGCACCCACATTGGTGTTCAATGCAGCAGCTAGGGGAGAGCATGGGAACCATCCACATGGGTTCGTTGTAACAGTGTGGGGGGTGGGGAACTATATGGGCACATGCTGCAGCGTGGGGGGTTGTCCATTCAGCCTGGGGCTCTGGGTTCCCTGCTAGTGCAGCCCATGGGTGGGGTGGCCCCCCAGCCACCTAAAAATCAGGGCTGTCCAATTTCTTTCATAAATTGCATCTATAGGTAAATGTTTTAAGTTTAAACATGATGATGTATGTGGTATTATGTAAGTGTTCATAAATACATTAAAGATATGTATTGCTTACTTTTACTAATCATTACTGTGAGTTCTGTTTATGTATGGTGCTTGTGTTTAGTATATTAGTACATACTCTGTACAGGTGTGGCTTCTGCATAAAAATTTTATAATTTTATTATTATTAATAGTATTTGTATTATAGTTATACCAAGCAGCGGTGGTTTTACATGAGTGCGAGAGAAAGAAGGAAAACTCCTTTTCCCCCAAGAGTTCAATTATTATAAAAATGGAGAATAAAATCATAAGTCTAACATACCTGACATCAGCTTTCTGAACTGCTTTTATATGACACATAGTAAATTCCGAATTGTATCTGTGTTTTGCTTTTTAGGGTGCAGTTTTCTTGGAAGGCGTGACAGTTAAATATGTGACCCAAGTGACAACTCAACCAAAATTGGGCGAGATACAGCACAAATGTCAGCAATTCTGTGGATGGGGAGGGTATGAACAAAAGCCATTTAATATTAGAATTTTTTGTTTGAACTATATTTAAATAAATGTTTTTTTCTTAATTTTGCTGTAGACAAATATAAACTTTAAAAAATTCAAAAATTCACAGGTCAAGTAAGCAACTATATATATTTGGATTAATTTTTATCAGAACAATTTTGAAAAATAAATGGTAAAGTAAATTAATGATGGAATAGCACCCAATGGCTTGCAAAGAAAAAACAGCAGTTTTAAGAAACAAGATTCCAGAATTATTTTTTCATTGTTGGATTATAATTTATTAGCCATTTCTACACAAATTTTAGAATCTGGATCCATTATTTTGGCCAACGTTAATGCCTTTTTAAGCAGTGATTTAATGGACGCTAGTCTGAACTAGGGAAAATATTGTACGCTTACATTTATATCTGTCAATTCACTTCAGTCCTGATTTGCTAGACCTTTTTTGTTTGGTTGGTTTTTTTGTTTTTTGGGGGGGAGGGTTGCTTCTTTGATCTTCTGGGAAGATTTTGCCAATTTTGAATTGTGCATAACATTGGTATAAATGCTACATCTAGCTGCATTTCTAGAATTTGAGTCTAGAATTTGAGCTCCCTTGTGCCACCTAATCTTCAAATACTAATACCAAGATGGGTTAAATTATCTCACCTTGAACAAATCCCTGATTAATTCAGACTGCTGGTGTTTTGCTATACTTGGAGTTTTTTATCAAAAAGCATTTGTCTCTTGTTGCAAATATGTCTTTTTAGAGAATATTAACCTTGTAGAAGCTGGTGCAATGCGACTCATGCAAGATTGATCTTGCTTGTCTTGTGTGCTAGCTTATTATAGAACCTTACTAGACACACTGCTCCTTTTAGGTCTGGATTCCCTGGAGCACAGCCCGTTTCCATGGACAAGCAAAATATTAAAGCTTTAGAGCAGAAGCCATACAAAGTAAGCTGGAAAGCAGATGGTACTCGGTAAGTTTATATCTTTTAAAAAAAAATTAAAAAAGCATAAATTGCCCTGACAGAGCAGATTCTTTGCATGGGTAGTCTCTGTGCTTCTTGGTATGTGAGTTCATGCCTATGTGCAAAGGAGAAGCATATTTTATCAATGAAATTGAAGCTAAAAACCAAAATGTATATTGATACAGTGTATTGTAACTTTGGTAGATATTTGCAGTTGGATTTCTCCCAGTCTATGGAGCTAGATTAAATGTTCCCTTACAGGTTCTAGCTTGTGCTCTAACTCTTGTTTTCTGTGATCTTTACAGGTTGAGTATCTAGGCTGGAATATAATAGTAACAAGTATCTTGGAATAACTGAATATAATATGTGGTTAAAGGTTTAAAGGAACTTAGGATCATAGGAAGGGAGCTCACAAAGTCATTTAGTCCAGTTCCCAGCCAGGGATTGAACCAGAAACCTTTTAGATGTTCAGGTTAAAGCTCCCAGCTGAGCTACTTCAGTATCGGCTTTAAAAGGTGTGGGGGGGGGGAAGCTAACTTCCCAGCCACAGGAATCTGCAGCCAGCCTAGTCTTCTAGGTGCTTGATCCGTTTTTGGAAGGAAAAAATCCCTATACAGAGACCAGTTTTTATTTATTGTTAGGAAGTTGACATTTTGTTTTTTCTTATGGTGATGTTGAGTAATGTTAAAAATTTTGCAGTTCTCTATTTCTGTTGGTCCTCAAGCTTGAGTAGACCAAACAGTGCTTTTTTTGATTCATTAGTCAGTGCTGCCACTTGTATCGCAATGGTGATTATTTCTTTTCGTAGAATTGCAGGTAAATCCTAATAACACATTACCAATGTTGAACTTTTATATTGGCTAACTATTGAAGCTAATTCTGTATGAAAAGGTGGAACACTGCTGAAATTAGTATCTGTCAAAACAGAAGAAACTGTATAATGCAACTAATGTGAAGTTGACAGAAATCTTCAGTTTAGCTGGTGATCAGTTTTCAGTTAAGTGCTTGCTCTTTATTCCAAAGTTATTGTAGCGGATTCATAGAGATCAATAAATTAGGGGTGCATATGTTTTACTTTTTAAAAAGAATTGCACTTTTAAAACCCTAACAGCCTCATAAAAAATCTTTGATAAACTTAACAGTCTATATTTAAAAGCTATAAATGACAGAATTATGGACATGTGCATTATGGTAGCCTTCAACTGCTTGAATCAGGTACTCAGCTCTGCAAGGGCTGTACCTCATTCAGTGGGCAAGATTATTACTAAAGTAGAGGTTTGCAAAAAGTGTGTAGGAAGTTCTCTTGTATTCAAGGCATTGATATGATATCCAGAAGAACTTAGTTCCTGGGTCTTACCCAAATCATAATACAGTGTGATAATCATAATGCATGTTCACAAAGGCACCATCCTAAGGTTGCATGGGTATCTCAAGATGTTTCTTAATAATACCATATTGATTCAATTCCATGGTAAGGTTTTTCCCCCCCCCCACTAACATGGTGGGGGGGGGCTCATCTTGGATTCGAGTATGAGGTGGGGGAGCAGACAGATGCTGCGGCTCCAGTTCTGACCTGGGTGCAGCTGCTTCCCCCCACTTACCCTTGCTCTGATATCAGCAGGCTGCATCCCTGCTCTTGCCTGGGGCATGGGGCATGGCCCCATCTCGGCCTGGTAGCAGTGGCAGCAGCATTTGCTACATGCCCCAGGCTGGAGCAGGATGGAGCCTGCTGACAGTGGAGCAAGGGTAAAATGGTGGTGGAAGAGGAGGATGGGCAGGTGGGAAGGCAGAAAGAGGATGGGGGGCCCAAATGGTGGTGGGGTGATGTGGTGGCATGGTGGGGGCCTGAGTGCAGGGGGGGCTGAGGTGGTGGCAGGTTGGAGGCAGGCAACAATGAGCAAGTGGAGGGGGGTGGCAAACTGCTGAACCACCTCTTGGCCACCACCTCTTGGCCTCTTGCTACTGCTTTCCCTGCTGCAGTTGTACAGGAGATGAATTTTAAGATCTTCCAAAAATTAGATTCTATACGTAAAGAATTATAACAAATGTATACATTGTCCATGTTTAGAGTCTAATTATTGTGGGGGGGTGGGGTTCTTGAATTCAGGGGTGTCTTGGATTTGGGTAAATATTAAGAGTAGAGAGAAGATGCTAGGTAAAAAGAAAGAAAAAGGTATAGTTCAATATTGAAAAGGGGTGGCAGCAAAAGACTATGGGTAAGAAGAATACAAAAAAAAAAATCACCTAATTTCTTTTAGCTTTAGAAATTTTGAAAAAATGTCAAAAAGCTGGTTTAACTATTTGAAGTTCAAAACGATAGGATACTGTGTGCCTGGATGCCATATAGTCACTTTAGCTTTTGCCAATCTTGTGGCTGTTAGGGGAATATAATAAATGGTTTCTGTCCCAAAGAGCTTAGTGGAAATAGCATTGAGGACTGTGAGCTGATATAAAAAGTGACAAATATCAGTAGAAAAATAGGAGAGCTTGTTCTGGGACAAAATTGGAAAGATAGTAGAGCTACAGTAAAAAAAAAAAAAAAACCAAAAAACAAAACAAAACAATCAAGTGCTCATTGGGAAGGCAAACTGAAGATAAAATTTTTAAGTTGTTCAAATCTCATGGTGGATGAGTGTGGTGAAACAAGTAAAATAAATAGGCACCGATATGCATCTCTATCCATTTGCCATCCAATATTTTGGGAAAACTAAAAAGTTCAGAATTGCTGTACAGGTGTATGCTACAGAAACTTGTATCCAGGTTAAAAAAAAATTGAGACGGTTTGCTGTTCCAAATCTGGTACTATTACAAAAAGACTCCTTGTCTTCCTCCATTTCAACTGGACTGTGCTGTCTGACAAAATTAGTTCCTCTTAAAAATTTTCAGAATTGTCAACAGTAAAATTTAAGTATTATATCTTAATCTCTTACCTTTTCTTTGGTATTTCTTGTTTCAAAGTTAATTCAAGAATCCATAAGCATTCATGAAAACTTTGTTCACTCATGCCATGAGGCATTCAGATCACAATATTCCTTTTTGTGTTGTGAAAACTACTGAGAGATGATTGATATTGATGTTTGTTACATCATGGTCAATAATCTCTCAGTAGCAGGAAGAATTTAATTACTGTGACATTTCATAATATATCTTCATTTCAGTGGTGTTAGCTGTCTTTATTTTACAAGATGTTTGGTCTTTTGAATACTGCTAAGCCCATGTTGTGGGCTTAGACTTTAATATAGGGGTTAACTTCAGTCTTTAGTGTTTCAAAACAAATTGAATATATGTTCCCTACATGCTTTTTGACTGAGTTAGAGTTTACTACTTCCAATTTAAAATAAATATTGGCATTGGGGGGGGGAAATAACTCTCTGTAAATAAATACCATATTGTTCTGATGATAAATTGATCTTGCTTATAAGCAGGGATCCTGGTTTTCTCTGATTAAAAATTGCAAATTCTCTGATTAAAACCCCCAAATCTTTGATAAAAATTAAAGGCTCCCCACAGCCCCCTCCAGCGCTGCTGGTGCCCCACACTCCCCCCTCACAGCCTTAACAGCCCTCTTGATGCCCCTCACAACAGCCCCTCAGACCCACAGACATGCAGACACAGACATTGACACCCATCCCAGCAGGTAAGTGTGTATGGGGGGAAGGTGCAGGGCAGGGTGAGGGAAAGGGAAGGTGCTGGGGGGGTAGATGGCAGGGGGAAGTGTGCTGCTGTGCACACTCCCAGGAGCAGGGCAGAGGGTGAGGGCAGGGGTGCCACTCTGTGGGCCACACACACACCGGCCGGCCTGATGGGGTTCGCACACGGAGGCTGCCACTGCAACTTTGCCACTGCACCCTGTGCTGTCATCCCACAGCCACCCACACAGCTTTGTGGGGAAATGGTGCAGGGCGCGGCAGCAGCAATGTGGTGGTAACCACTGTGTGTGGGCCACATACGTGTCACCCAGCTGGGGGGCGGAAAGGGGGGCTTGCATGCAGCAGCCACCACTGCACTGTCTTGTGACAGGATGTACAGGTGGTGTCTGTGTTTGCGGGGGGAGGGGGTTGCAGGCAGGCGCTGACATTGTGGAGCCATGCCCTTCACCCCTGGACCCTAGAGGTAAGTGGGGCTTGGGCTGTGGGGCAGGGCTGGGGAAGGGGGTTGGGGGCTGAGGGAGCAGGGGTGCTGCTGGCTCCAGGCAGCACAATGCAGCCAGGTGCAGGGACAGGGGGTGAGGGCATGGGTTCCTGTCTGTGGGGGGCTTTGTGGGTAAATGATGCGGGGCGCGCATGCCGTATGGCCGCCTGCCCAGGGGAGGGGGAGACTTGCATGCGGCTGGCTGCACAGCTCTGTAGCTGGCTCTGCAGTGGCGGCGAGGGATGGGGGGCAGAGGGGGTCTCACACTGCAGCTGTTGCCACTTACCTGTGGGGCCGTGCCAGCGGTGATGGCTGCTGCTTACAACACCTCCCTGTGCTGCTGCGGAGCCGTGCCCAGAGCTGTGTGGCTGGCCGCAGGGTGGCAGCTGCAGTGTGGTGGCGGCTGGGCGGCACACAGCGATCCCCACCACCATCCTGTGCTTCAGAGTGGCCATGGCTGCCATGAAATTGTTGCTGCCTCCAGGTGGCTGGCTGCACAGCTCTGAGCACGGCTCTGCAGCAGCAGCACAGGGAGGTTTTGTAGGCAGTGGCAGTCACTGCTGGCACAGGTGGCCCCTGAGTTGGCAGCACCCCCAGCTCCCTCAGCCCCCAACCATCTTCCCCAGCCCTGCCCCACAGCTCTCAAGCCCCACTTACCACCGTGCTCCAGGGGCGAAGGGCGAACCTGAGCCTGGCCTTGGCTGACTCAGAGGCTCAGGCCCTGCCCTTCCTCCTCGCCCTTCTCCTCCTGGCAGGGCTGGGATTTCCCACCCTTTCTGCAATCAGCTCTTGCAGGCTTGTTCCACATTTTCAAGTTCAGCTCATATTATTGTACAACAGTATCATCCCGGCTGAGGTACTGTCCCAGGAGCCACAGA